GGGCAGGGCTTGCACCACTTCTGCTTGCTTGGGATTGTGGCATGAGGTGGGAGTTTACTCTTGTGACAAGGAGAGTGATGAGCTGGCACCCTACAAGCAAAGAAATATCTCATCACCAAAATACCCCTAAATATCACCCCTAGTGCTCCATTAAAACTGCTGTAGCCTTATTGGGGTGCTGCAAACTCTGAGATGCTTAACATGGTGATCCCCTGGGCTTGCTCTGACAGTGCTTTGGTCAGCACTGTCCCAGCATGGCTTTGTCCCTGCTGGCATCACTTGTGACTTGCCCACAGTGCTGTGTGGGTGGCACTTCAAAGTTCTCCCACAGCTGATTTGTCCCACCACGTGGTTAGAGGTTCTCCTGGTCATGCCATGGCTGTTGTGCTTTGCTGTCCTGGCTAAAAACACCTACCCTGAGATGTCCCTGGGTGGTGATGGCTCATGGTGGTCCATGTAGAAGAGTTGTTCTTCCCTTCAGCTGCCTGTGGATGGATTAGCCCTGCCTGTAGCAGAACTTAGGCATGACCTAATGCCTCTCTTTGCTTGCTAGCACATAAGAGGGATGGATATGGGGCTTGGCTGCTGGTTCTCTGGCCTGCTGGGAGTCCCTGGAGAGCCCTTTTGCAGACTAGAGGTGCCCTCCAGCAGGTGCCCCAGCCATGGCTTTATTGCCACCACCTTATTCCCCAGGAGCATCTCCAGATATTACAGAGAGCCAGTGGAGCTTTCTGGCTTCCCAGCCTGTTTCTTACCCAGTCTCTCTCTCCAAGAGCCCAGGTGGATGTGTCACCAGTGCCAGCTTGCCATTGGCACTGATCTTGAGTGGCACTTGATCCTGAGTGATCTGGTCGAGTTGTCTCTGGGCCATGGGTGTCCTTCCCAGCGACAGCTCTTCCTGATGGATGGCTTTCGAGGCTTTGTCAGCTCCATGTTCTAGTTCACCATGTTCCCTTTGAGGGTGATTATTAACCCAGCTATCACCATAGCTCTTCACAACTTCCCCTTGGAGGGCCATCCATCCATCCCAGATTAGCTCTCACGTACAGCCTGTGCCAGGTGAAGTCTGTACTTATGACTTCTCTTGTGTATCCCTGCCTGCTGCAAGATGAAATTCTTGGCTGTGAGAGTCTCACTGCTCCCTTTGGGGAGAGGATCTCCCCTTGCTGGAGACAGCAGCTGCCGGAAGATGCCATCCAGCCCCGGTGTGCGGTGAGCGGCTGCTTCTAGGAAATTCCTGTGCTCTCTTTCTGCGAAGTGTCACAGCAAGGCTGGGGGTGGCACTTCCTCCCCCCACCCCCGCCAGCCTGTGAGCCCAGGGTCACTGCTCACCGCAGCAGCGCCACTGCCACGCCAGGGCTGGGTTCATTCCTGGGTCCCAGCCTCTCTGAGCATCCCCGCCGGCACGGGCCTTGCATTGCAGGGGGTGGCCGGGCTCGTTCCTGTCCTGCTGTCCCAGGGCACTAACAAGCTCCTGTGTTCATGAGCCCCACTGGTGGCAAGCAGCATCTGCTGCTCACAGCTTTGGTGGGGGAGAAGGCGTCTGGGTGGCTTTTAGTGACAGCGATGAGGAGGGCTGTGGCCCCTGACACTTTTCTTGTTGCCCAGCTGCTTTTGTGCAATCAGTCCCCAGCATGGATGCACCAGTAAAGCTCCTGAGAAATGGCCTTTAATCCAGAAGCTATGGGTGCATTCACACTGGCCTGGGGGCTCCACGTCATCCCTGTCTGGTTGTGTTGGTTGTCTAGGCAGAAAATCACATTTCCCCCCTTCTCTTTGTTAAGTGGGAGATAACTTCCCGGGTGGAGGTGATGACTGTGAGGCCCCAGGAACACTTGGCTAATCCATTGTAATTCACACCATCTGGCTCTGTCCCCGCACACGGAGGGGTGGGTCACCCATGTACCCCCTGCCATGGGCATTCTGAGCTCTGCCTTCTGTCATGAGTCTCCCTGTGGGGCTGAGGGTTTGTCTGACCCCTGGTCTGACCCACAGGACCTGTTGGAGGGATGTGTCTATCCTGCCATCAGCAATGCCTGTGCCGACTGTGTCGCACAGGGGGGTGGTCCTAGGGGAGCAGGGGCAGTGTGAGCCCCCCTTGGCTCAGGTCCTGCTCAGGAAGGAGGCTGAGGCTTTGCAGGGATGCACAGCCAGGCTGCTTGGGTGGGGGGCTCCTGCATTATCCACTCACTAGGGATTTGGGGATGGGATTTGGGTCATCCCTAAAGGTATCTTCTGGCTTTAACTTAATTTAATTAGGCTTGTGGCTTCCTGAACCCCAGTGCTGAGGACCAGCAGTAACATCACCAGGCCTGCTGCCACCCCAGCCCGGTCTGTCTGTGCTTGGGCACGAGGGCTGCTCCCAGGGAATGGGGACATGGCATGCCATGCAAGCCAGTGGCTGGGGTGGTGTTTCCTGTGAACAGTGATGACACTGCATGGGTTGGGGGCTGTGGGTGCCCCTTTCCAGGCCCACTCCCACAGAATTACCTTGGGTGTGGGCAGATGGTGGCTCATGCCTGGCTGGGGAGCCAGGGCTAGTGCATGGCTGTGGTGACCCAGCTGCTGTGGGGACAGGTGCCCCTGCCTTCCCCTCCCTCTCCTGTGCCCTGCCAAGAATTTGCTCCCTCTTGCCCAGGGCTGACATCACCCCTTTATCACTCCTTGCTCCAAATGTGTGAGCATCCGGAAGGTGTTGGCCACTGGGCCTTGTCCTGCCCACACAAGATTTTGCTGGGCATTTTATCATGCCTGGACCTGCACTGTGCAAAGATCTCCTCCTTGGGTTCCTCTGGGGGACTGCCATCCCCTCTGATGGCACCATCCCCAGCTGGTGCCACCTTGTCCTGTGCTTCTGCACCCATGAGGTGGTCACACTCCCATGATGGACCTGAGACAAACAGCTGAGTTGGGATCAGTGCCTGCTCAGGCACCCAGCTGAGCCTCCCTCAGTGCTGCTAAATCCCATACTGTGCCCAGAGAATCCATGGATCCATGATGGCAGTGAATCCTGTCAGAGCCAGAAGGCCACATTTAGCTTGGCATCCCAGGCAGGGTCTGAGCTTGAGCCCATGGAAACAAGTGGCTCAGCATGCTAATCATTCGGCCTTGGAGCCCGGTTGATGGTGTCCTTGAGCCTGGTGACAGCTCCACCTTGGCAAGGCCTCTTGGACAGGGTGGTGGGACACACAGCCCTAAAGCTCTTTGGGGAGGGGGGATTGATGTCCTGGGATTTGAGGAGCAGCAGGGGGCACCCAGGCAAGGGCCTTCAGAGCTGATGGGGGTGGAGGGGATGATGTCCTTCTGAATGCCCAACTCAGCTGGTAAGCTCCCAGTTGGTAGAAGATGAAGTATCCTCAAGGGATGCCTCTAGCTGTCCTGCTGCCAGGTGCCTGGGGCACAGCCCCTAGGGCTGCTGACTGACCACACTGCTAGGGTGACCATGGGGGAGCTGGTCCATCACAAGGGTGCTCAGCCCTGGGGCAACCCCTCTTCAGCATCCACACCAGGGTCCTCAGCTGGGGTGGCTGTGGAGGGACCAGATCCAGGGAGCTGCCCACTGTACCCAACGGGCTCTGGGCAGTTTTGCAGGCACATGGGAATTCTTTAGCCAAGCTGTGATTCTCACTGCTTAAGTTTTCGTTGGTCCTCACAGGTTGTGCATGGTTCAGGATACAGAAGTCATAAGGATGCACAACTTCTGGTTCAGAGATGAGGGTGCTCAGTTTATGGCTCAGGGATGAGGCTGAGGATGTACACAGTTCATGGCTTGGGGATGAAGAAGCTTGGCTTGTAACTCGGCTTAAGGTGCCCAGCTTGCAATTCCAAAGCTCCAGAATGAGCCTGCACAGCTCATGGCTCATGGATGGGGACTCTCAGCTCACAGTTTGGGAAGGAAAGTCACTCCTAGGTTGTGCTGGGGTGAGCACTGCAGACCTGTGCTGCCAGCCCTCCATCACGTACCGTGCCAGCAGTGGGGGCAGGGGCAGGCAGGTGGTTGTGGTTCAGCAGCTCCCGGGTCACAGCTGTGTTACTGACCCTCTCTGCTCCAATCAGAAAACTGTAGCACTAATTTTGAGCATGTCTGTGTATGGTGGCCTTGGTGCTGGTGCAGGAGAGCAGGGTGAATACCTGAGACAGCAGAATGTCAGAGTGTGCCATGCCTGACTCACCTGAAAGAAATGTGTCCGCACCAAACCGGGACTGCAGCTCCGGCCGGCTCCTGGAGTGAGGAAGGCGAGCGCTGCGGGCTGGCTGGGAGCTGCCCAGCTGGCACAGCTCAGCCCCGGCGGTGGCTCTGCTGTCACCGTGAGGAGCAGCTCTGGACAATGATGCAAGATGCTGTGGTGTCAGTCCTCTTTCCCTCCCCGAGTGGGTAGGAGGGCACCCCTTATGATGATGCCGGAGGCCAAACCTTTTTGCTTGCTCAAGATAAGTAAAATTGGGGCTTGTCATGCCAAAATTCTAGTGGAGGCTTGCATCTCTCACTCTTTGGGGAGCCGCTGAAGTGGCTGCAGCTTTTGTAAAGTTCTCAGGAATTGCTGCTGACCCGCTGCTCTGGAAAATGTCCGGCCAGCCCCTGGTGCAGGAGTTTGTCCCGGCTTGCTGAGCCTGTGCAGGGCTGCTGGATTTTGCAACCTGAACTCAGGTTTTGCTCTGCTCCTGCTGCAGCAAAAGCCTCTGTCTGCTGGCCCAGGGTCCGTGGGGATGTGATGCAGGAGGCTTCAAGGTACCTGCTCTCCTCTGCTGCGCTCCCAGTGCTGGGCTCCTGTGCTTGATCTGACCACGTCCCTCCCTCCAGCAGGACTGTGAAACCAGCTGGCAAGCTGGGAGCTGGGGCGGGGGGAACTGGCGCCGGCATCTCCTCGTGATGCAGCATCCTGGGAGGGCAGCGAGCCCAGCGCCAGCCTTGCTGGGCTGCACAGACTGCACGGCTCCAGCACTCCCGGCGGGGCCGGGCCAGCGGCAATGGCTCCTGTGCCAGCTCCGGCGTGGCCAGCAGCTCATGTGCTGGTGGCCATGGGGAGTGAACATGGCCCTGGGAAAGCTGCCATGCTTTGGGGCCACGTGTTATGGGCCCAGGGGGTTCATTGTCCCTCCCTGCACTCTTGGCCATGCCTGAGCACAGCGGATGGGAAGCTGAGCAGCAGCGAAGACCTTAAATAACACCAGAGCATCCTCACCCTCCTGGCCTTGGGCCTCCGGCCAGCCTCCCAGGAGTTTTTTTATTTGGTATGTGTGTGAATAAATTAGAACTTCCGAAACAAACCCTCTGACTGCCCTGCTCCTCTAAGGCAAAACAAACCCTGCCTGACTTGGACAGCATGTGGCTGTGTTTGCTACCTCCTTGCCAGACTTGCCCATAAGAAGCCAGCAAACCTGGCTCAGTTTTTTGGGATGTTTCCCGGGGTTTTGAGAGTTACGTGGTGATAGAAAGCTTCATGTTTGGACTGGAAGCTTTTCTTGCCAGCTGCATGGGAGCAATGCAGGTAACCCTCCTGTCAGCTGCGTCATGGTGAGGCTGCGGCCACGAGAACTTTTATTTTTAAACCTTATCTTTATTGCAGTTTTCTCCTGCACTGCTTGGAAAGGTGAAATGCACCTTATCTGTTTGTCTGCTGGCAGTATGCACTGCTCCTAGGGAGGGGAGAGGTGGATGTGCTGTACCTTCAGCATGCCCTGCGGACCAGGGTTCTGGGGGTGATGCTGGGGCAATGCCTGGGACAATGCTGGGGTGATGCTGAGCCAACCTGGCACACATCCATGATGAGTGTGGGGTGTTGTGTGGGAAAGGGAGGCCCCTGCAGCCCCTTCCTGCCAACTGAGCACCTCTGGGCTGTGTTATCATTCTGGCCTCTGGCCAGAGGTTTAATTACAGGTTTCTGACGCAGCAACGGAGTAAAACTGAGCTGGGAACTGGGACAGAGACACTGAACTGATGCTTAGCTGGCACCCCAAGAGCTGTGCCTGATCCCACCTGGGGGTGTGGAAGAGTGAGGGAGCCAGTCCCTGTGCCCACCTCTCACCCCCAAAGGCTGGTGGAGGGTTGCTGAATCTCATGAGGTAATAGTCCCCAGGGCCACTGTGGTGTCCACCCGGGGTGGCTCCAGGTGCCACACAGGGTCGGTTTTCAGGATGTCCCCACAAGCACCCAAAGGTGCAGGGCAGGAGGGTACAGGGCCATGGGGCTGCCCCTGCAGCGCTCTCCTGTTAATGGTTAATGTGACTGGGCAGCGGTTGTGGCACAGACTCCCCGAGCTATCAGTGCTGCCATCGGCCCCGGGAACAGCCTGTACCTTGCTGCTGCTGTTTGTTTGCATCCTGGCCGCTCCACCCTGGCCACTGGCCTTGTCACCGCTCTGCAACAGCCAGCTCCCGCCCGGGCTGTCTCCCAGCCACCCCGATGGTGGCTTTGCAGGTGCCAGTGTCACCTGTGGTGCCTCTGTTTGAGCAGGGATGGAGGAAATGAGGCTGGGACCGGGCATGGAGCGCCAGTACTCTTCGAGGGGTCCATCCCGTTTGGATGCTCCCTTGAAGGATGAAGGGTAGCAGGAGCAGAGGACAATCTTTTTTTTTTTCCCTCACCCTTTTTAATTCCCTCATGCCTCAGCCAGGCAAAGAGGTCCTCTGCCTGTTGATCACTTGCTGGGAGGCGAAAGGCATTCGGCAAAAGTCTCCCACGGAGCCTTATGGCAGCTATGAATGGTGCTTGATGGAGCTTTTAGAGGCTATTTTGAGGGCTGATGGCCCCGCATCGCTGCAGGACTCTGTGCTGTTCCGTGCCGTTGCTGGTGCCTGTGGGTTTGCCTGCAGCTCTGGGGACGATGGGGCTGCAGATAAAGAGAGTGTTTTCTTCCTCCTGCAAGGGAGAGAAAACAGAGCAGCTCCATGACCTCCAAATGCCCCAGGGCAAGGTCACATCCTAGTGAGTCAGGAGCTACAGCAGGGTGTGGAGCTCAGGCAAGGAAAACTGATGCTGGGGTGGATGCTTGGTTCCTGGGGTTGGAGAGGCAGAGCTAGGGCATCTTTGGAGGCTGGAGACAGACAGTGGGTGTCACTGGCCACTGCAAGGCTCTTCCCATCTCTTTCAGGATGTGACTCGGGCTTTGGGCAGGCAACAGCCAGGCACTTGGACATCATGGGCTTTCGGGTGTTTGCCAGCGTGCTGGACCTGCAGAGTCCTGGTGCCCAGGAGCTGCGCCAAAGCTGCTCGTCGAGGCTGACGCTGCTGCAGATGGACCTGACCAAGACAGAGGACATCCAGCGTGTCCTACAGCATATCCAGGCCCACACCAACAGCACAGGTAGGAGCTGCCTTTGGCAACCTCACAGAACCCCACAGAACTCCCTGGGACCTCAGCCTGCAGCCAGCATGGCAGTGGCAAACCTCCATGTGTCTCCACGGGGGGCTGCGTCCCTGTGCCAACAGCCGTTGCCAAGCTCTCTTGTCCTGGGGCACCCTACAATTCCCCTGCAGGACCCCCATCAGCCTGGGGAGCAGCTGGAAATCCCAGGGTGGGGCTTTCCCATTCAGGTCACCTCTTCAAGCATCCCATTCCCACAGGACTCTGGGGCCTGGTGAACAACGCTGGGTTCAATGACACCATCGCTGACGCTGAGCTCTCGCCGCTGGGCAAGTTCCGCACCTGCATGGAGGTGAACTTCTTTGGCTCCCTGGAGCTCACCAAGGGGCTGCTGCCCCTGCTCCGCTCCGCTGGTGGCCGCATTGTCACCGTGAGCAGCCCTGCAGGTGAGCAGCCTCCCTCCAGTGTAGCACCCCCAGCACCCTCAGCCCAGGCACGGCTTGAGCATCCCCATGGTGTGGTGCAATTCCCACCCCCAGGCACTCCAACCTTCTCAGCCAGCTGGCTCCAGGAATATCTAGGATGAGCTGGCAGCACTGCTGAACCCCACAGCAGCCACCAACACAAGGAGACATGGGGGCTGGGGACAGTCAGCCTGGTCACAGGCAGCATGGGCAACCCAAGCCCAGCTGTCATGTGCCTCCATTGGGGATGACAGCCCCAGCCAGGGTGGGAAAATCAACTTCCTTTCCCCTGCCCTTTTTTTTGCCCATTAAAACACTCTAATCCTCCATTGGGGATGACATTCCCAAGCTTTAGCTGGACAGGGAGCAAAATCAATTTCCTCTTCCCTCACCACTTTTTTTTCCCCCCCATTAAAATATTAATTTGAAGCTATTTTCAGTTGTTTTGTCAGCAAAACAAACCCTAAGCCATTTCCTTAAGCAGGGGCCAGGAACACAGCCCTACACAAGCCCTGCCCTTTCCCCCCACTCCCCTCTGTCCCTGCTGGAGCACTGGCTCACTCATTCTTTCACTCCTGCCAGGTGACATGCCCTTCCCCTGCCTGGCAGCCTACGGGGCCTCGAAGGCAGCCCTCAGCCTGGTCATGGACACCTTCCGCAGCGAGCTCCAGCCCTGGGGCATCAAAGTCAGCCTCATCCTGCCTGGATACTACAAAACAGGTAAGAGGGTCAGTGCCTGCTCCTGTCTGTGCCTGTGAGCAAAGGACAAGTAGCCCAGGGAGGCAGAAAATGGAGCAATGGGATGAGCAGTTGGTAGTGCAAGCATGCAGCTTCTGAGCATCTCCAGCCATACAGGGACAGTGGCTATCCTGTGGCCGTTGGGCTCTTGATGGATTGAAACAGCATCAGGATCAAGTCCTTGACCAGTCCATACCACTAGGACTGGTCAAAGCAGCTCAGTCACGTTTATGACAGCAGCATCTCCACTGCAGGCAGGGTCCAAGACCCCTGGTCCAGTCTCAGGCTAGCAAGAGCCACTATGGTGCTACTACTGTACTTCCCTCATGCCAGTCCTTGCCAGGGTCTCAGCTGGACCTTCCTGTGAGGCTGGAAGGTGACTGGGGCTGCTGGCACCCATGGCAAGGGGGCTGGAGTGGGGGAACCCACACAGCTCATAGGGACTGTTTCCTTGCAGGGACAACGTGTGACCCTGCCTTCTGGAACCTGCACAAGCAGCAGCTGTTGGCCAGCCTGCCCCAGGAGCTGCTGCAGGCCTATGGTGAGGACTATGTGGAGGAGATCAACCAGCAGTTCATCCAGTTCATGAAGGTGGCGGTGGAGGACCTCAGTGCAGTGGTGAACAGCATCACAGAGGGGCTTCTGGCTGCCAACCCAGCCGTGCGCTACTACCCAGGGCAGGGCCTTGGGATCATGTATTTCATACACCGCTACCTGCCCTACTTTGTCCGAGACTTGTTCTTGAAAGGATTCTTCATCAACCCCAAGCTGCCCCGAGCCCTGCGGCGAGAGCACCACAAGGATGTGAAGAAGGCCTGACCTGGGCCTGCCCAGGGCCTTCTCCAGGGCTCTCCAGGCCCCTGAGCACGTGCAGAGCCAAAGGCACCACCCTCCTGCACCCTGGGGGGAACAATCAGCACTAGACGTTTAAAACCAAATTTCTTTCCAAAATCAGGTAGATCTATTTTCTATTGTGCAAGAATCAACATTTTCTAGAGACCTTGGTTTTGTATTTTTTCTAACCATGTACCGTCCAAGAGGCCCATCCCTGCCTGACTCAGCAGCTCTGCACCACAGGCTGGGATGTACCTCCTCAGCTACCCACCACCTTCCTTACTGCTCTCAGAGCTGTTTGTCTCCAACCCCTCTTGGCTGGGTCAGGGCTGGGACCCTGTGGCCGCTGCCTCCCTGCCACTCATTACACACTCCACACACTCCTGACGAGTGCAGGGGCCAAGACCAGGCTGCCAGTGCTGCAGAGCTCTTCATGAGATGAACTATGTGATTGTCACTTTTTAAATAAATCCATTATTGATATTCCAGCAGGCTCTGGCTGTCTCCTTCCACAGTGCAGTGCTGCAGTGCTGTTCAGGGATGCCCAGCCTGTGGGCAGAGCTAAGCTGGGTCATGGCTGGCACCGCACTGAGCACTGTGGCAGGAGCCTCACATGCAGCAGCAGGTGCCACAGGTACTCCCAGAAAAGGGCTGAGCCTGCCAGGAGGGATTTGTGCCTGTTTCCTGCTCCTCCCCAGCCCTATGCCAAAAGCTTTCTTTTGCTTTGCTCCGACTCTGTGGCCCTGCTGGGGCAAGGATGGCAGCGGTGACAGTGGCCCGTGTGGACAGCCCCAGGCACCAGGGACAAACCATGCAGCTCCCTCACCTTATGGACCATTCCCATAAGGCTGCACCCCTTAGCTCAGCAGCCAGCTGCACCCACAGAACACGCACTGTCCTGGCTTGGGCTGGAGGGAGTACTCTGGGCCTCATGAGGTGGTACCACAACGATGCCTGTGGTACAAACAAGTGTCCCAACTCACACAGGAACCACACCAGGCTCCACCACCACAACTACCAGATTCCCTGTGACTGATGGAGGCTCCACCTGGGGCTATGGGAGCAGGTGCCCAAGTAAGCAGGAGAGCACAGTGCAGTAGGCAGATATTTATTGGTGTAGAGAGGAGGGGATCACAGGAAAACAAGCTGCAGAGGTGACCACAGCACAAGCTGGGACAGAGCCACTCTCCATTGATCCTTCCTCCCAGCAGCATCCAGCGTGTTTCCCTCCAGCAAGGTTTGTCTGCTGCCATTGCACATTTCCCAGAACTCAAGTGCAAGTAGGAGCTAGCCAGAACACAGCAGCAAAGAGCAGGACTGCCACACCATGCTCAGGGCTTGGCTCCCACCCTAGATCACAGACAGGCAGGGCCTGGGACATCCCTGCCCCCACCAGGGTGACTAAGGCTGCTCTGTCCCCTGGCCAGCTCCATGGTAGTGCCAATCCACCCTCTGCAGGGGAGAAGCCTGGATGTCTACCCTAGAGAGGTGCAGGGGTCCCCCACCATCTGCAGAGCCCAGAAGAGCCCCAGCTCTTGCATTGTTGTGTCAGTAAACTGCAAGCTGTGGGTCTGCACAGCTCTGAGGAAGGAGCTCAGCCAGCTTATGGAGCCCTGTCCAGGGCAGGGAGACTGATGAGAGCTGAATGTGCAGACACAGTGAGGCTGCATGAGTGCAAACACTGCCAGAGTGGGAGGACTGTGCTCCACAAGCACTCTGGCTCTGCCCTCACATTCCCACAGGCTCCATTCCAGTCCTGGCCAGGGCTGCTTGTCTCTCCCAGGTCAGGGTTCACTACAAGGGGATGCAGGGATTGCACAGCAGCATGGGGTACGCTACAAACCACAGTCTAACTACATCTCACAGGAACAACACTGAGTAGGAGACGTGCAGAGCACTGACAGAGGGCCCCCCAGCCATGGCAGACCTGACCCATTCCTCTGCAGCAGTGGAACTCTCTCAGAGGCAGCCCCCGCAGCTCTATGAGCATAAGCACACACAGCAATTAGTACAGGAACACTGTGACTACTGCATACACAACAGGAGACCCTCCTGCTGCACAGGGCTAAGCCTGGACCACTGATCCCTCTGGACATCTCACAGCACACACAACTCCAGCTTTTGAATAATTTAACTAGCAACTGTACAGTTTCCTCATTTGATCCAGTTCCACAGATTGGACATCCCTGGAGTCTGGGCATGGGACAATTCAGGGAGTAAGGGATCTGTCCAGACTCCAGGGGTGGGAGGGTTGGACAGGAGCAGAGCAGAGTTAGAAGATGGGAATGTAGTTGTCGATCTTGGTCCTGTGCCGCTGGGCGATGCACTCTGCGATCCACACGATGTTGCGGCACTCCTGCTCCTTCAGCTTCACGAAGGCGTAGAAGACTCCAAAGTGGAATTGGTTGAGGAAGGCCAGCTTGTTCAGCTTTACCTGGGGAAAGCCCAGAGGAGGACAAGTCATTTGTTCACCTCAGATAGGAGGAGTTGGTCAAGGCAAGCATGGAGCTGCTTGGAAGGACCCATGACTTCCCAGCAGGCTGGAAGGCCCTGCACAGGTATCCTGCTCTGCATCTCTCTAGGTCCCTGGGACAGCTCTAACCTATAGCACATGGCTCAGGACAGACTGACATTTGAAGGGGGAAATATTTATAACTCAGGTACCATAAAAAGTCCTTATTTTCCACGTAATTACACTCTGGTTTTGCTATTGACGGACCAAATATCCATTAGCAGCCCCAAACATGCCTCCTCACACTGCTGGAATCTGTCTGGGTTAGACAACAGGCCAAGCACTATGCCAGCCCCCATTCTCATGCAGGAGCAGAGGGCAAGCATGCTTCTCCTTCCCCCAAATCCTGTTCATCCACAGCGCTGCTGACAGGGCAGTAGACCAGCTTCCTGGCACCTGGAGCTTTGCAAATAGCACACGTCAAGAAGCATCTCAGGGCTCACTCACCTCATGCTCAAAGAACCTGTCTTCAAGGGTTTTGTCTCCAGGGTTGCTGCCAGCCCCTTCAAATAGCAGCTTGTACTCCTGCAGGAAAGCATTACATGAGGATATACCCTGTACCCAAGTCCAGCAGCACTTGAGGGCCTCCTGTGTCACAGATACTCCAGCCACCCTGTCAAGTCAGAGGACAGAGAAACCAAGAGTCCTGCCCCTTCTCCAAAATGTGCAGTTCTCATCACTTCAAGCCACAGGAAAAGGGGCATCAGGTATAGACCCCCTCCACATACAGACTGGAGTGCTTGGGCCAGATCCCTGCACCCACAGATAGGCTGCTCAGTAAAGGGATACTGAGCTCTCTGACTCCAAACAGGTCCACAGCCATGCACAAAGTGGCTGGAACACAGACAAATCCAAATGTGTCCTCCCAGGTCAGCAGCTCACCTTCAACTGAGCCAGAGCTCAGGGCTGGAAGTGGGGCAACACCACTTCTCACTGAAGATACATTTCCATTCCAAATCAGGCAAGGAGAGCCTGTCAACTGCTGCCACATCAGCACTTCAAGGGTTTGGTGGTGAAGACAGTCCCCACACCCTTGGACAGGGAACACTGTCTCCCAGTCACCCCTAAAATGACAGCCATGACTAAGAAGCCAACGACATCTCAGGCAAGCCAAGTCCTGCCCAAGCAGAGCACAGGACCAACAGCATCAGAGAAGACTGGCACCTCTCTCCCCAGGCTGTCAAGTCACAGGTTTCCCCAGATCCCCAAGAAGCTGTGATGCAGAGCAGGTTCTTGTACCAATCCCCATGGCCCTCACCCCGGAGCACTCACAGGGTAGTAGTCAGCAACATTTTTGACTTGCTCGTAGTCATCTGCCCTGGCCAGTTGAGCCAGGCCCTCAGGGTAGAGCTTGCCACAGTGTGGGAACAGCTTGGCTCGGTCCTCCTTGGACAGCTCAGTACCAAATGAGTTGATGGTGATAATGAAGGCCCTCCGGTCAGCTTCAAACTGCGGGAAGAGAGTGGCTCATGCTGGGATGCAGTATCTTTAGCAGAGGCTGGCAGCTATCAGTGCTGCTCTGCACACAGCCACATCAGGAGGGCAGCAGGAGGAGGCTCCTGGGATGTGTACAGCTCTCCAGTGCTCAGCTAGGGCAGGCTACAAGTGCAGGGTTCCAGTAAGCTCTATACCTGGGGCGCATTCAGGTGAGGAAATCCCCATCCCAGGAACAAGCCAAATCCTGTCCAAGTCAAGGGGTGACTCTCCCCTACTGCTCCTAAGTCCTGCACATCTCACAGTAAGCTTTGGCATGGACACAGGCTGTGATCCCAATGGCTCTGGTAGCTCTCCTACACATCACCCACATGAGAGGATGAAGATGATGCCACAGAGGCAACTAATGTATCAGTACTTGGGGAACCAAAGTCATGCTCAGGCAGTATTCCCCAGGGATCCCAGTGAGCAGGTGAAGCAGGCATGGGGATGCTGAGCACAAACTGCAGAATGTTTAACAACTGGCAGACAAGCTGGGCCTGAGCAGGGAATGATGACCCTCACAGTAACACCATCCAGCTATGGAAGGTTCCAGACCTACCTCAAGGATTGGGCACATGGCATCTGCGGTGGTCCCTCCCAGTGTCTTGCAGAACTTGTAGAAGGACTCCAGGTAAGCCTGGAAGAGAGAGGGGAGATCAGCATTCTTCTACACAGCTTCATCAACTCCCCCACAGGGCCCTTCAGCAGAGGACAGACAGCAAGCAGACTTTGCTCTCTTGCTCCCAGACACTCTGTAACACAGCACAGGCACTCTGGCCCCATGTGAACTTGCCCACACAAGGACTGTGCTTTCCCCAGGAGCCAGAGACATGAAGGGTTGTGGTTGGGTTTGTTCAAGTGACTGCATGAGCTTACTGTGGGCAAGATCCCCAGGCAGCAAGGTTAAAGCCTATTTTTCCTCCTTTGAGTCGCCTAACTCATTTTACTGAAGTCTCACGTGGTTTCCTGACCCTGCTCTGGCCTCCACAAACGTGCCAAGCCACACAACCATAGCTGCAAGACCTACACTCAGAAAGTAGCGCTGTGTAAGCAGAGTCCAGAGATGAGACAGGACATCTGTGAAAGAAACCAGCCATTCTCTCTAATTCTCTTTTCACACTGCGGCCACTTGGTCTCTATCCCAAGTGAAGCACTGCACAAATCATACAGCCAGGCACAGCTACGCTGCCTCCAGGAAATCCTTAGTGGAGATGTTCTGTAATCCATCTGGAAGATGACTCTGTCTCCCAGGGGGAGCCTAAGAAGGCTGTGGATGGCTAAAAGTATCGTTCAGCAAAAATGTTCTCAGAAGAAGTGATCGAGTATTAAAACACCTCCCCAAGCAGAGAGCTGCAAGCAGAATCTTCAAAGGGATGGAATAAAAGGATGCTGAGACACCACAAATCTTTGCTTTATCACAACAACTCTAGGACTTAAGATGCACCAAGAATGTACAAGTTGGCTACCCTCAGCCTCTGCACCAGGAAAGCACCTGGATTACTGTGTTCTGTAAATATTTGTTACCACACAGTGCAAGAGGACAATGCTGGGTGAGCATCACTCATCAAAGAAAGCCTCTCCAGCACTTGCCACTGCTCAGGTGGAGGAGAGCACAGAGCAACAGTTGCAAAGTTACCACAGGAACAAGGACATGGAAAATGGATGCCCTTTGAGGCTGACAGGAAAGGGAACGTGGCGAAGAGATTCAGTCACTACCTCTGCCCTTATCAGAGCTCATATACAAACCTAAGGCTTTAGAAGGCAAATACAGGTGAACCCCAACATCCAGCAGTGTATGGAAATCCAATATCCATAAAACACAGAAACAGTCTGTAAACAGCTACACTGGGTGCCCTTCCAGTGACAGCAACTGGAAGAAAAACTCCAATATCCTGAAGCCCTTACCCCAGGAACAGAGGTGTCTTTGCCTTTAATAATCCTCAATGGGTCTTCCCTTTCATGAACCCACCCCCTCTGCCTCCTGCCAGTCTCACCTGTCCTCAAATCTAGTCTGAAGACAGGCCTGTGGCCTGTCCATCCACAATGATTTTTCCAACATCACCTGTGGATACTACCCTCCTCTGCCAGGTGAGGAACCCTAGGCTTTTCCTGCAGTTTTCTGTACAGAATCATCATACCCAAGCTTCTAAATGTGTCTGCCTTAGCATCATCTCCTGTTTTGCTGTTCATTCTCTGAGATGAGTGGAATGAGATAGCGTCCAGGTCAAGCACACTTTACAGATGGATTCAGTAGCACAGTGATACTCATACAGTTCTTTTCTACTGTTAGGAATATGTTACCTTGCATAGAGACAATTGCTTAGGTCAATCATTAGCCAAGATTCCAGTTAGTAGTAGGAAGGAACAAGGAGACCCTCACTATACAAGCAGAGTTAGGGTTCCCTCCTGGCCTCTCCCATGCACCACTCCACATTTACCCACACTGATTTGCCTGCTTTATTTTATTGTCCAGTTGCAAAGCTCCTTCAACTGGTTCCTACAAGAAAGTCACCAGCAAAGGCCAACAGTCAGCTGGCT